GGTGACTCGAGGGGGTGACGCACTGAGGGGGGGGGGGGGTTTCCCCCGGGCCCCGATTCCGCAGGAGCAGGAATCGGGGCTCGAAACCGGGAGGAATTCCGTCCCCCGGGGGGATTTGGGAACCCTACATAGATATCCGGCTGGCCTTGAACAGAGCCAGGGCCTTTTCTGCCCTGGCCCCAGCCTGGTGGCACTCTCTGCCCGAATGACATCCGTGCCCTGTCTGACCTGTTAAGGTTTCGCAAGGCATGTAAGGCGGAGATGTTCCACCAGGCCTTTGGTTGAGGCCAGCGACGGTTCCTTACATCTGCCTGGCACCCTCCCCTCCGTGACTGAATGCTCGCGCCGCCATCTTGTTTTTACAATGTCTTCATAATACTTAAATGCTTGAATGTTTTTAATATTGAAGTTTCATAGTCTTAACTGATTTTACAGTGCACTGAATTAATTTGTTGTAAACTGTCCTGAGCCCCGCGCAAACAGAGAAGGACAGTCAAGAAACCAAAAAAAAAAAGAAAAGAAAGAAATCTAATGTAATCTAATAAATAAATAAATAAATTATACCTTGCAAAGTGCTCTAGATGTTATTTCGCAAGATGGTGTATTTCACGGCTCTATTTCCACTGCTCTATTCCTCAGCATCATCCCAACACAGAACTGCCAACCCTGTATCTCACATGGTTGAAGGGTGCAAGGATAAACCATATATGCTTCCCTAAGTTCTGTGAAGAAAGTAGGGTGGAGTGTGAGACATCATCACATTGCGAAGCTGCAGCGACACTCTGGTATTTGGGCAAAAACTCTATGGTAAAAATGGCTTCTACTATAACGTTTTTGTCCAAATACCAGAGGGTTGCCACGGTATCACCAATGTGATGATATCACTACTGGTACACGCCAAAAGTGACACTGCCATGTCATCAATGACATAGCCTGGGCCTCCCTCCTGTTCCTGGTAAGTTCCCCACCAGTCAGCTGATCAGCAGTGTGGGGTCGTGGGGGCGGGAGATCCCTTTCTTGCACTGGGGGGGCTGGCAACCCTAGAAGGAACAGGGCAAAAAATGGGATAGGTAGATAGATTGGATAGTAATGTAGGATTTCCACAAGTGGCATGGCAGACCTTTGCGCTTGCCACATGTTCCCAGGGAAGCTAGACCTCCCCATTCCAAGACATTGATGTGATGCTTAGCATTTATATACCCCTTCTGGAGAATTTCAAATGCCTAATGTGTATATCATGTATCTATACTTAACTTGGCCTGAATAAAATATGTACCAATACTTAATATAGCCTGCAATACTTAATTCTGGCTGTAGGAGGCGATGGACCTCTCCAGACAACCATTCTGACTGTAGGAGGTGCTGGACCCCTCAGGGCGAAAATAAAGATGAGGAATATGTGCCACAGGGCCATGTATGGAGAGGGAGTTGTTTCTGAGAATGGAGTGGGGGAGCCCAAGGTTTGCAGAAAAATCTAAAACCTTTTTTAAAAAAATGGGGGCTAACCTCCCAAATCATAGAAACAATGTCTGCAACTAAAAACAAAAAACCCAATACAGCAACTGAGATCTCACGAGACTATGTTGCGAGATCCCGGGGGGGTTATTTTAGGTTGCTTGGCAACCTCAAACACCATTGGCTGAGGCTTTCATGCCTCAGTGTCAGCCAACGTGGGGAAAGGCTGAAAAAGGGTAGACATGTGGGAAGGAGATACATCAAGACGGGCAGCCGTGTTAGTCTGTCTGTAGCAGTAGAAAAGAGCAAGAGTCCAGGAGCACCTGAAAGACTAACAAAATCGTGGGAGGGGGTGAGCCTTCGTGAGTCACTGTGGGAAGGAGACTATGTTAGAGGAGGGGAAAGAGGAAACGCCTGTATGGTGTGGGGAGAAGGACAAACGAAATCCCTGCAAGTTCTTGTAGTAGTAGTAATAATAATAATAATGATGATGGTGATAATGTGCTGTCGAGTTGCAACACTCTTAACTTGCTTCACCAGCCTCACCTAACTCCCCTCCATGACAGCTGTAGGCTTGAGACGCATCCACACACACACAACTGGCAGCCAACACCAAGGAGACACAGAAGAAGAAGAAGAAGAAGAAGAAGAGATTGGATTTATACCCCGCCCTTCACTACCCAAAGGAGTCTCAGAGGGGCTTACAAACTCCTTTCCCTTCCCCTCCCCACAACAGACACCCTGTGAGGTAAAAGAAGAAGAAGAAGAGATTGGGTTTATACCCTGCCCTTCACTACCCAAAGGTGTCTCAGAGCAGCTTACAAACTCCGTTCCCTTCCCCTCCCCACAACAGATACCCTGTGATGTAAAAGAAGAAGAGAAGAGATTGGACTTATACCCCACCCTTCACTACCCAAAGGAGTCTCAGAGGGGCTTACAAACTCCTTTCCCTTCACCTCCCCACAACAGACACCCTGTGAGGTAAAAGAAGAAGAAGAGGAGATTGGATTTATACCCCGCCCTTCACTACCCAAAGGTGTCTCAGAGCAGCTTACAAACTCCTTTCCCTTCCCCTCCCCACAACAGACACCCTGTGAGGTAGGTGGGGCTGAGAGAACTCTGACAGAAACTGCTCTTTTTCAAGGACAGCTGTGCCAGAGCTTGTGGCCAGTGTTCCCTCTAAGCTGTGGAGTCTTGTGAGCAAAAATTCTACTTTGCGAGTGACTGGCATGAAAGTTGTGAGTGAGCAATTTGTCTACTGCATTAATTAGTTTGCTCTGGAGCCCATCCCTCCTGAGCTCAGACAAAAAAGTGTGATCTGGAAGTTAAAAAACTATGAGCTAGCTCACACTAACTCAGCTTAGAGGGAACACTGCTTGTGACTGACCCAAGGTCACATCAGCAGGTGCAAGTGGAGGAGTGGGGAATCAAACCCGGTTCTCCCAGATTAGAGTCCGCACACTTAACCACTACACCAAACTGGCACTACACCAAACTGGCAAACACAGGATACAACTGCTGTTTTCCTGTGCTTTGGATGCTCTCCACGCTTTCCCTGGCTCTTCCCAGTGACTCACCTGCATGTCCCACTGTGACCGGGACAGCCGAACTGGCGCTGCTGTGCGAGGTGGGGCTGAGCGCCGACACCCCATTGTGAGCTTGTACAGTGAAGGTGTAATTGTTGTAAGCTTCCAGGCCATCCACAACCACGGACGGACTGGTCAGGCCTGATGCGCTGGGGGATAACACCACGCCGCTCTCGCAGGGTTCACACAATAGGTGTCTGCAGTTCTCGCAAGTGACGCTGTAGGAGAGATCCTTGCGGCCGCCTTGGTCGAGGGGCGGCTTCCAAGCGAGGGAAAGCTGACTCCCCGAAAGAGAGGCGCTGAGGTTGCGTGGAGCGGAAGGGGGGCCTGCAAAAGCAAAGGAGAGTGTGCATTAAAGCTGCGTCCTGAAGAAGCTCTTATACTTCTCTGTGAAAATCTTTCTTTTTTCGGGTATTTGTTTGTGTGTGTACACCTGGAAGTCATGGTTGACCTCTGGCGACCCCTAGTGGGGCTTGGACGTTTCAGAGAGGTGATTCCAGAGAGGTGGCCTGCCTCTGCGTCCCAGCCCTGGTATTCCTTGGAGGTCTCCCTTCCAAGTACTTGCCAGAGTTGACCCTGCTTCGCTTCCGAGATCCGACGAGATCGGCCTTGCCTGAGCTATCCATGTCAGGACCTCTCTGTGAAAATCTCAAATCTCAAAGCAGATGTCGTTAAGCGTGACGTCACTTTGAGGGCAATCTGGGAGTGATGTCTCACCTCTCTAGGAATTGCTGGAAACTCTATGGTTCCCCCCAGAAGTGACCTCACACCATTGTCCCATTTTAGCCTTTCCGCTTGGAGTGGAGGCGGGAACGAGGAGCCGGGGCAGAGGATCCCCTGCACCCACTGGGGGACCGGCAACCCTGGCCCCTCGGTTGAGAGCCTTCGGTGGTCTGCAGAGCTCTACCTACTGGTTGCAAGTCCCCCACAGGGCGGTTTTTTTGTTGTCGTTGTCGTTGTTTTTTGGGAACGCCTGCTGCTATTCCTCTTCTGTAAGAAGCAAAGGGGCAACATCTCCTGTCTGTCTTTGCACATGCACTGAGAGGAGGAATGGGACAGCCAGGTGGGGTTAAGGTGGAGGCAGACAAGATCCTTTTATAACATGGGCAGGTCCAGAGACTCTGGCTCCTCCCCCCTCCCCTGAGTTCTGTGACGTCATGTGACCTTATGTCATGTGCTTGCAACTCACCCAATCTCAGGCTGCAAACTACGCTTACCAACCTCCAGGATGGGGGCTGGACTCCTCCTGGGATTACAACGGATCGCCGGCCTACAGTCTCCCAGGAGGAAACGGGTGCTTTAGCATGCCGTAGGGTTCCCAGTCCTCCGTGGGGGTGGGGGAGCCCACGCATTCACGGGCTCTTTTGCGCTGCTGGCATTGCGGGCCGGTGGGGAGAAATCCCACCCCCAACTGACCTTCCTGAGTGACTTCCAGTAAAACCAGAAGTGCCGGCCCCACCGTGATGACATCACCCAGTAGTGACATCATCAAGTCGGGGATGTCGGGGGGGGGGCAATGCTCTGTTTGTGGGCAAAACCTGATGGCTTGAAGCCAAATTAACCATAGAGTTTTGCCCAGAAACCAAAGCATTGCCCCTGACACATTGACGTCACTTCTGGGTGATGTCATCATCTTGGGGGCGGAACTTCCAGTTTCCCAGAAGGACGTCGGGAGTCCCCTGCCGGCCAGGTAAGTGGACCTGGCAGCCCTACTCCACGTTCCCTCTGAGCTCCCTCCTTTCTGCAGAGTTCACCCTCTACACACACTACCCCTAAATCTCCAGGAATTTCCCATGCTGGAGTTGGCAACCCCACCTAGAGTTAAAGGTGGAGCCTGGGTCTGGAAAGGTTGGTGACCCCTGCCTTAAAGAGCACATTTAATGGATTCTGGAGGATACGGGACTATTCCTAAGACCCCTGAGCCTAAATTTCTTCCTTCCCCACTACTCCTGGGCCCAGCTCAGCTACACAAATTGGGCATAGATCACAAGTGGTGCATATGCCAGTGTTGGACTAGGATTGAAGAAACTCAGGTTCGAATCCCCACTCTGCCGTGGAAGCTTGCTGGGCGACCTTGAGCCATTCACACTCTCTCAGCCTAACCTACCTCACAGGGTTGTTGTGAGCAGGGCTTTTTTTGTAGAAAAAGCCCAGCAGGAACTCATTAGCATAATAGGCCATACCCAACAGCAGGAACTCATTAGCATATTAGGCCATACCCTGACAGCACAGCTCATTCACATATTAGGCCACACCCCCATGTTACCAGAAGTGTGGTCATCCAGCCACACCCACCTTTTGCTTATCATTCTCTTTAAATTGTTTGTTGTCAAAACCCAGGGCTTTTTGCATGCTAGGCCACACACCCCTAATTGTAGCCAATCCTAATGAGTTGCTGCCATTGGGTGCGGCCTATTATGCTAATGAGTTCCTGCTGGGCGTGGCCAACTTGGGAGCCAGCCGGAACTCCTTTCCTGTGCGTTCCTGCCCAAAAATAGCCGTGGTTGTGAGGATGAAACAAAGGAGAATGACGTAAACTGCTCTGGGTCCCCATTGGAGAGGAAAGCCGGATATAAATAAAGTAAATAAAATAAAGTAAAAATACACGTTTGGCCCAACACATGAAGGGCCAGTGCAGTTCTCACGCACTAAGAGGTGAGGCAAACCTTGGAGGTTGATAAGAGATTCAGATCAGTGAATCAATGGGTGTCGGGGTTTGCATGTATCCACCCTGTTTAATTGGATCAAATGCAATGGGTGGACGGATCTCGCAGCCTCATGAATAGATGCATTCTGAGGCAAGTATTACTCTATTAGTCACTTTTTAATGTGCCTTTCCTCCAAGAGATTCCAGGCAGCATCTTCTTTATATTATGTCTTTGTTTACTTCATTTATACCCGCCTTTCTCCCCCAATGGGGGCCCAAAGCACATAAGATCATTCTCCTCTCCATTTCATCTTCACAACAACATCCCTGTGAGGTAGGTTAGTCTGGGCCAAAGTCACCCAGGAGGCTTCCATGAGAGAGCAGGGATTCGAACCTGGGTCTTCCAGATCCTTGTCTCATGCCCTCAGCACTACACCACGCTGGCTCTTCAGGTTTGGGATTCACACTGCAAAGCAGTGGTTTGCTTTACCTGGCTACCCCTTTGCCCCCCGCACGGGGACTTACGTGTGCAAGCAACAGTTTGGTCCTCACTGGGTGCCCGGAAGAAGTCTCTGAGGCAGGGGCAGGCTGTGGCCCCCGGAGAACTGGAGGAGCTGTTCGGAGGGCACTTGAGGCACTGGTCCATCTCCGGCGAGTGGCGAAAGAACCCTGGCTGGCAAGCTGCGGAGAGGTTTGGGAAAGAGACCATGAGCTCAGAACGCCGCCACATCAGAGGCTAACAGAAGCCGTGCTTTTCTAGACTTAAGAGCCACTGCATCCCTTCTTATCTTTTCCACACTGATTTGAATCTACAAATTAAACGCATGCTGAATAACAAAGACTGCAAAATAGGGTCCAGGGGTCATTTCCTGCCGGAGCGCACACGAGCGGAGCTCCGGCAGTAAAGAGCCCAGGGGGCGGGCACATGCGACAAGCCCCACCCCCTGCTCCCAGCAGCCCTTAGTCAGAACAAGAGGCAGCCAGGTAAGTTTCAGAGCCCCCCGGCCCCCCGGTCCAAAACAGTCCAGTGGCACCTTTAAGACCAAGTTTAGGTAAGGCTCTGTGAGGACAGATCTGCATGCCCCCCCCCAAATAGCTAGCAATCCAAAACAGTCCAGTGGAGCCTGTACGGTGGGTGTTGCCTTCTGACACACTTCCGGTGATGTCAGGGGGTGTGGCACATGCAAATAAGTGATGCTAATGTTATGCTAATGAGCTCCTGCACCTCTTTTTCTACGAAATGACCTCTGGGGTTGCTAGTTTCAAGTCGAGACCTGCTGGAATTCCAGCAGATTTCCAGACAACACTGATCAGTTCCCCCTGGAGGAAATGGCTGCTTTGGAGCATGGACTCTACGCACTATGCCCCAGTGAGGTCCCCCCCCCTTCCCCAAACCCTGTTCTTCGCAGACTCTACCCGCTGATCTCCAGAAATGTCTCAACCTAGAGTTGACAACCCACCTGCAAAGTGGCAATTCTTGTAAATGCTTCTGCCTGTCTGTTGAGGTCTTGGGAGACTGCTCTAGTTAATAAGACAGTTTAGTTCAGGGCTTTTGGGGGGTGGATGGAAGAGGTGCTGGGACTCTCAAGAGGGAAATAGAAAACTTATGAACTTTTAAACATTTTAAAAAGAATTTTGTCAAAGAGGTTCCGGAACTCTGTCCCGGCACGTTCTTCCAGAAAAAAAGCCCTGCTTTAGTCTATGGAAGACTTTGGAATCTGAAGGTACGCTCTAAAGAGATGGTAGGCCAAAAATAAAATCTACTGGTTAGAGGGGTGACTTTTAAAATACGATTGTCGAAGCTGTGCATTTTTTCCTTTTTGGGTGTGGAGATCCTCCTTGTAATGGAGGAGCTTCTTTGTATGTTGAGAAGGTTTGAATTATCATGGCAAAAGGTGTAACATCACAGACACGACATCAACACGGTTACGATTTCTGACAAAAATACCGGGGGAGGAGGGGGAGGATTCCGTTCCCTATCTCTTCCTTGCCCTTGCAAAACCAGAATAAATTATGCAGACTAATAAATGAAGCATAAATGATGCAAACAGAATCTCATCGTAAATCATGTATTTATTTTAGAAACTCTTTGTGCCCCTTTCCTACCCAGTCGGAGTCCTCAAGCTGGCACACGTAAAAATATTAAAACATTGGAACCACCATTTAAAATCATAAAATAATTCAATAAAAACGGGTCAGAAAAGCCCACCACGACCGGGGAGGAGGGCCAATAACCGTTACTGTGGGCATGCCAAATGAAACTGTCTTTATCTGCTGGTGGCAGACGGCGATTGTGGAAGACGACGACTGAGGGAGACGGACAATCCTCCCTGAGGAAGGAGTTCCCAACAATGCTCCTTCTAAGCTGTGGAGTCTTCTGAGCAAAAATTCTCCTTTGTGAGCTGCTGGCATTAAAGCTGTGAGCAAGCGATTGGGCTGCTGCATGACTTAGTTTGCTCTGGAGCCCTCCTTCCTGAGGGGAGACAAAAATGTGTGAGCCGGAGGCTAAAAAACTGTGAGCTAGCTCACACTCACTCGGCTTAGAGGGAACAGTGGTTCCAAAATGTTGGTGCCATCACCAGAGAAGCCCATCTAGCCTCGGGGAGGGGGGGGAACCGAAGCAGGGCCTCTGAAGATAAACAGAGCACGCACCACAGTGGCAAGATCTTTTCTGTCCCGGAAGGGCCACGGCTGGCTCACCAGTTAGGGTCGCCAGTCCCCCCATTTTTGGGACTTCTGTCCGCCACCGGCCAACTGGCCAGTGGAGGAAATCCCACCCCCAAACAGCCACGTCCCCGTATGGTGTCATTTATCACCGGTCTCAATTAAACCACAAAAACAACAGGCGTCAAACAAGCAATTCCGGAAAGGAAAGGGATTTCAGTTTCTCCACAGTGATATTATTTTGCAGACTGGCCTCCAGACCTTGGCCTGGATTTGCTAGGCTGGGATTTCAAAAACTGACCTATGGCTCCTAGAGAGGGTTGCTCGGTCCCCCTTGGACACCAGCGGGGAGGTGGGAGTTAGGGTTGCCAGATCCAGGTTGGGCAGGGTTCCCAAGTACTTACTGCGATCCGGAGGGGAAAACACGCTCCCCGGCCGGACCATTCCTCCCTGTAACGCACCATGCCGTCGCCAGGAAGTGATGCTGGGCGACGCTCTGGCAATGGGGCTGAAAACGTGATGGTACCATCGAGTTTCCAGCCCCATTGGCAGAGCGTTGCCCGGCATCACTTCCTGGCGACGGCATGGTGCGGCGCGTCTGTTTTCCCCGCGGGAATGATCCTGCGAAGGCGTCTGTGTCCCCCTCCAAATCACGGTAAGTGCTTGGGAAGCCTGAGGTTGGGAAACTCCCTATGGAGGACAAGGGCCTCAGTGGGGCACAATGCCACAGAGTCCACCCTCCAAAGCAGCCATTTTCTCCAGGGGAATTTATCTCTGGAGATATCATCCCGGGGGGGTCCCCAGGTCCCAACTGGAGGCTGGCATCCCTAAAAAGATGGAACCAGTACATTCTGCCTCTCCTTTTCAAAACAATCCTTCTGAGAGGTGGAGTCTTTCTTTGGGATTGTCCCAATCGTGCTGAGGGGACCGGCCTGATTCTTCACCTGTAAATCTGGATTAGCCAATTGGAGATTAAGGTTTAGAAACTGGGATTTATCATGTCTGGTGTTACTCACTGGAGAGCAAAAACAAATGACACCTATACAAAGGGGCCAATTATTGGGCATGTCAATCACTGGGCGCTTCAGTCTGCGGTTTGAGGCAATTGATTACACCTGTCTGCTCTCTGGGCAATTTGAGATCACTTTTAATTGAGAAACCACTGGCATACCACAATATGCCAGAAAGGGTCCGTGTCCGTCCCCCCCCCCCCCCCGCCCTTTCTCTCCCCATCAATAGGAAAAGGAGAATAGGGCTAAATAGGTGGGTTTTTTAACAGCCCAGTTTTGCAAAATTAGGCAAATTTATCCAATCTGCGTAATATATAGAGATCAAAGAACTCATCTTGTCACCGAATATGGACTATGTGTCTTTCTTGCTTTTCCCCCCAGCAAAGAGTATAAAAATGACTATCATGTATTAAAGAGACGTTTTCGGTCTCTCACGATGGCTTTTCATCCGGGAAAACTGCACCACAGCGGCGTGACTAAGAAGCCTTCCCCCTCTGCCTCCCCCCCCTTTAACTAATAACCAACAAAATGCCTGTTGAGAACAAAAAATATTTGGGAGGCACCCGACATTGGTCTGAAACTGTCTCTCTCTCTTGATTTGACCGTACAGGGCTATAAGTGATTTCACAGAGTTGACTGTGAATTGCTGTTATTAGTTACCCATTTCAAGGCTTTAACAGAGAGAAGCAGGCTAGAAACTGAATGATTGAATAGTGTGAATGGAATCTCTCCTTATATATAATTGAGTAAGAACATTCTATATGAACATTCTAAATTTGGCCCCTTTAGTGTATGGACGCTTGAACTGTCAGTCAGAAGACGCTGGCTGGGTTGACTGGCTGCTTTGTGCAGTCCCGCCCAGCGTTTCAAGGTCTTTTGCATATGGAAGCTGATTGGACTTCACTGCATTCCACACCTCAAACTCACCCCCCTCCCCGCAAGGCAGTTGGAATGTCAGTTGCATATGGAACCTTCAAGGTCTTTTGCATATGGAAGCTGATTGGACTTCACTGCATTCCACACCTCAAACTCACCCCCCTCCCCGCAAGGCAGTTGGAATGTCAGTTGCATATGGAACCTTCAAGGTCTTTTGCATATGGAAGCTGATTGGACTTCACTGCATTCCACACCTCAAACTCACCCCCCTCCCCGCAAGGCAGTTGGAATGTCAGTTGCATATGGAACCTTCAAGGTCTTTTGCATATGGAAGCTGATTGGACTTCACTGCATTCCACACCTCAAACTCACCCCCCTCCCCGCAAACCTGGAAAGGACATAGGGTTGCCAACTCCAGGTTGGAAACTTCCAGGATAATTTAGGAATGAAGCCTGCTGAGGGTGGGGTCTGAGGAGGAGAAGGAGGAAGAGAAAGAGGAGGACCTCAGACAGATACAATGCCATACTCCCCACCCTCCAAACAAGCTGTTGCCAGTCTCCAGGTGACAGCTGGAGAGCTCTTAAAGCTCTGGTGCTAATTCAAAGTGCTGCAATTTGTCGACAGAGTAGTGTTTTGGCAAATCTTTAGGAATTGTTTGGTGCATTTACGATGAGGCACCCACCCAGAGCCTCTGGCATTTTCTCACTCTGCTGGCATCAAAACCAATTTAAGGCAAAATAAGAGGCTACTGAGAGGGGAGGAGATAAAGTTGCCAGCTTTAGGTATGGAAAATCCTGGAGATTTGAGGAGTGGAGGCCGGAGAGGGGGACATCAGACAGGTTACAGTGCCATAGACTCCACCCTCCAACCCAGCTATTTGCTCCTGGGGAACTATTGTTGCCAATCTTGGCCCAGCACCCATCAAACCATTCTCTTCAACCCCCTGCTGTGCAGCTGACTTTCCCCTACTCCAGGTATTTCCCTCCTTAGAGTTGGCAACCCTACTTTCCCCTCAGTGCCTGATGGTAGGCAACTTAGTTTGGTCCAGTCACCTACTTTGGCCTTTGGGAGAAAACATATTGGGGCCAATCCTGATAGGGTTGCCAACTCCCGATGGGAAATTCCTGGAGA